AATTTTCGTCGAAAATAATTAGAAATGAATAAAGGCTTCATTTGAGCGAAAATGGATCGTGCCAAAGAGTAGGAATTAACTTACAAGTGCATGTCGATGTTTAGTCTTATTGCAATATATAATAGTCATCTGATCTTATTAAATTACGTATCTGATATATATGTTACTGAATCTTATTATTCCCGAAATTTATAACTTAACCAAATCGGCGAAAAATCATTCGGCTAATTTTATCAGGTGTTTCAGGAACTATGATACCGTATAGTCGCGAAATAACGCACATGGGCGTTATTTCGAACCTCGGCCCGAATTAAGCTTAATTTAGGCCGAAAATCGAAATTACACCCCTGCGCGTTATTTCGCGACTATACGGTAATAGCTGTAATCCGGATATATTTTTTATACCCGGATTAATCCGGTTTTATCATAGTATAAATCCGGATATAAATTTATATCCGGATTTATTTATATCCGGATATAAAAACATTATGTCACGTTATATCACATGACATAGTATATATCCGGATTAACTCTAGGTTCGGCTACAAACGGTTACGATTATTCATAGCTAATTTTCTAAATACTGAAATTATATTTTATTTTTTGAAATTGTTCAGATTAAATTATGTTCATCCCAAATTATAAGTGAAAGAACGATACCTTCTCCGAAACACGGAATTTTAAAATTTGTTAAGTCATAGCAGCGGCGGTTAGTAGCCGGCTATGAGTAGTGATGTGCCATCTATACGATACCTGAAAAATTTTAGTGTACAGTACGTATAGTTCTATTATGGTATCTGATTGGTTGGAACAAGTGATCGGCAAAAATTTTAGCGTACAGTACGTATAGTAATATACACGGCACATCACTAGCTATGACGTTACCAAAATTTAAAATTATGAGTTCCAGAGAAGGTATCGTTATTTTCACTTATAATTTGGGATGAACAAAATTTAATCTGAACAAGTTTAATTAAAAACTCAAAAATAAAAAATCATTTCAGTATTTAGCAAATTGGCTATGATTAATCGTAGTTGTTCGTAACCGAACCATTGTTACTATTGTTTGGGAGAGCGATATGATTTTACGGGCAATTTAGCTCCAATAGTTAACGTTAAAGAAATTTATATGTATTATTAGTCAATAATTTAAACACGTGGGGACTATGATTTAGGGCCTCGATTTATGTAGATCACGATCGGGCTCTTACTAAATTGGACCAAGTTTGGGTTATGTACGTAATTTAAGGATGTACAAAAAGGGTAAACTGAGGTTGACGGGATAAATTAAGGCAATCACGAAACAATAAGACAGATCTATACTAGGAAGTTAGGTGGATAGCCTTATGATAATACTGTTATTTGGATTCTTAATAATGAGAAGAATCTAAGATAAGAGATTCGAGATTAGGTAGCTTTTAGGAATAATTCTAGGGTATTCGCTTAACAATGCGAAAATAAAAATAAATAAAGAAAATAAAAAAAAAATAAAAAAAAATTAGACATAAAAGGTTCAACGCTTCACTAAACAGTTTCTTAACAAAAATGAGAAGTCGATTCTTAGTTCACTTTTCTAAAGACATCGAAGTCTGAGAAAGCTTTATTAACGAAAAATGACGGCCTTTATATACATTCTTTGTCCTTAATAGTTACTGCGCTATTTTATTATCTTCCCAATTCTTAACCTTTGCGAGAAGATTGCGCGCAATCTCAAAAGCCTCTTATCATGGCTTCGCTTTGCGCGCATTTTGCGCGCAATCTATCAGCCCTTCTTATCTTTCATCTCACTAAACAAACAAACAAATAAAAAAAGAATAATAATAAAATATATATATATATATAATGTAGAACTCTAAGCCCCAGTCTTTAAGTCACGGGAGCCCGTGACACCATCCTTATCCGAGACGAATAGTTTATTCGCACAACCAAAATTCAGCGGATCGGCCAAAATTTTGAGTTGGGATGTGTTCGAATTGAAAATTTTGCCTAAAATTGCTCAAAATTTACTATTATAATAATCAGTATCCTACATACTAAGCAAAATTGCCCGGACGCTAATTTGTGGCTACAATGTAGCAAATTTTAGCAGATTTTTTATTCTCTGAAAAATTTTAAGGGTTTCAATAAATGGGGATAGTCAATAGAAATCAAGCAAATTTTTATAATAAAAGTTTTAATAACTTTAAAGAAGAATAACTTAACAAAACCTTGACCAAATTTAATAATTTTTTTTTACAAACTTGTAGAATTAATTTAAAATTTATTAAATTTGATTAAGCTTTTGTTAAAAATATTTGCTTGGTTTCTACTACATAGAAGGTTTACAATCTAAGAAATTTCCAACTATAAACAACGAAAGTCACAAGGTCACCCCTTTTTGTAAAGCCGATGCATTTCGACTCTAAATTTTGGCAAATTTGCTGAATTTAGCAAAAGTAGAATCATTACCCAAATAATTTTAAAATATTTCCAAGTAAAATCTTGTACTGTTGAATTAGGTTAGAACCTTAGGGTTTGAGGATACCAAAATTTTACGAAAAAAATTTTTACTAATCTGCGGAAGGTAATTTTACAGATTAATTTTGTATCATAAACAATTTTGACAAAACGAACCTTGTTTTGAATTATTCTGATCGTGCTATGTTAAAGTTGGAGTACCGTTTCAGGGCATTCTCTTGAGCAGAGTGGCATGCCTTATTATGTGATTATTAATGAAATTAGAGTGTGCTAATTGCTACTTATTTTACTAACTTTAGCTTAATATCTATACCAAGAAAATCTCCAAAAATTCAGCATTGGCCAATCAAATTCAAAATCAAGTGTAATGTGCAAATTCAAAGTAATATGTATTACCTCATTTTTTTAATCAGGTCTAAGGCTAGCAAAGGTAAATATGAAATTGCTTTATAAACAAATTTTTGAGTTACATGCTATATTAAATTCTATTTTCATTAAACCTGATCTTGTAATTTAATTGATTGCGCAGAATTTTTAGAGTTTTTGGGATAGTTACCTTATAACATAATATACGTATGATTATGTATAGGAGCATGCCCAAGCACGATAAGAAGGACACGCCTAAGCCAAGGTCTGTCCTCAGATAGTGTTCTGAGTTGATTAAAATCGATTAATTGTCAACTTTGTTGCAACTAATAGTCGCATGTTTTAATAAACGGAAAGCATACAGGTCACGTGATTTTGCACGTACCGACGATCATGTGATATAACGTATGTCAAACTATCCAATAGAATTCGATGAATAGATTCCGCGAATTAGTATAATTTATTTGAAAAAAAATTCATCAAATTCAATTAGATAGTTATTGAGAAATTTCGTTCAAAGTTTGGGAAATTTTCAATGCCTCAAAAAAATGGCCGTGGCAGTAGAGATTGGAACCGGTTAATAAAATTCAACTATAAATTCGGGTTAACCCGGTTTTATATTAAATCGGTTTTGTAATATTATAATTCGGGTTTAAAATTAAAATCCGGTTATAAAAATTCTGATAACCGGTTGTAAACCTAAACCTTGGTCGATAAACCGGTTTGAAAATTAAAATTCGGTTTAATTTTTGATCTCGAAATATTATACTCATGCACTTGTAAAGTATGACTAGGAAATAGAATCGTTGAACTCCTAAGCCTTCATTTTTTCTTATGTATTTTATTTACTTTATTTCGAATTTGAAATGGGCAAAGCAGTTATATATTATTACTTAATATTAACTGCAATAAGTAATATTTAGTAATTTTACTATAATTTTATTATTATCAACAACTTTTCGTTCGATTTCAATTTTGATCACCTGTCTCTGACTTTTATCATGCGTTTTATATATACACATAAAGAATATTCAATGTAATATTATTTAATATTACTTAACATTAAGTAAGCGATAAGTCATAGATCATTATTACAAAATTACTTTGGAGCCCATGACAAGTCTATATAGTAAAGTACTATACTCCGCTTTGAATGTAATGAAGCAGCAAAAATATAATTATATCACTTCTTTAATAAAATATTAATTGTATATTTTTTATTTTTCTTACTTTTATCAAAATAAAAAAATGGAATCACTTCCTTCTAATTCACAAACTATGTCTCATTCAGAATCTTTTGATTCATCATATGATGGTTAACTTTTTGACTCTTCGCTTACAAATAAAGAAAAACAAAAAAAACAGAAGCCACGAATTAATAAAAGTCATACTACTTACTTTTTTCAAGAATGTGAAACGAATTCACAAATCGTTTATTGTAAAATTTGTATAAGAAACTTAGCCGAGAGTGATAAGAAACCTTATCCATATAGCAAAAAAGGTGGAAACACTTCTAATTTGATTGGTCATCTCCGAGATAAGCATGACATTACGAAAGTAAATTATAAGGAGTATCTGGATAGCAACAATGAAGTAATTTTAATTTAATTTAATTCATTTTAATATTATTAAATATATACTGTATATATATTAATTATTTTATACTATTTTAGTTAAACCCAATTATCCCAGAACATAATACAGTATCACCAGTTCAACAAAAATTAATTACTCATAAATTTATCACTTTTATTATTAAGTTTGTCGAACCATTATATATCTTAAATGATGAATCATTTTGTGATCTAATGGAAACTTGTGTACCTGGTTACAAAATTTCATGCATGAAAACAGCAAAGAATACAATCTATCAGACATATCATTTATGTAAGAATCAATTAAAAATAATGTTAAATACAGATATAAAAGCTATTCATTTAACTACAGACTTATGGACTGCCAAATCACAACATGGATATCTTGGAATAACAGAAACTTGGTTAACTTCTGAATTTGAATTCAGAGAAGTTCTTTTAAAGTGTGAGCATCTAGCATATCCACATTCAGGAGATATTATTAGCCAAGAACTGTATAATGTGATTAATAAGTGGGGGTTTACAAAATTCTGTTTATACTATTGTGACTGACAATGGTTCTAATATGATTCATGGAATAAGCTTACTATCAGAAAATATACTTTCTCAAGTCATTAGACAACCATGTGCAGCTCACACACTGCAACTTTCAGTATTAGAAGGACTTAAACAATGCAAACAAATTCATCAATGTATAAAAAATCTGCAAACCTTTTTAGGCTCCCAAAACAATCAGAAAGACTTCGCCTGGCTCAATATGAGCTTGATCCATCTTCACAATCTAATGATAAAAACATTAACCCATTAGATGTTTTAGATGATACTAAAACTTGGTGGAATTCTGTTTATTATGCTTGGAAACATGTTTTAAAGTTGCATAATACAATGCGTCATGTTTCTAATTCTTTGCTTCTGGATTCTAATATATTTTGCAAAGAAAAGGTGAAAAATTAGACAAATTATGTCTTATCTTGGATGAAAAATAGTAAGTTTATTTGTGTAGTATTAAAAAAACCTTAAAAATCGTATCTTTATGCATTTAATTGTTTTTCTGCAGGATTTGATTTTTAATAATAAATTAAATATTATTAAATGCATAAAATATGATATACAGATTATTTTAGTATTACTTATTTGTAATCTATAAATAAATCAGAATTAAAACTGTTTTATATAAAAATAATTTTATTATTTTATTATATAATATAAATAATTTGCAGATATATAAAATTAGAATTAAACCCATATTTTAGCATTTTTAATAGTACAATTAGATATTTATATTTATTTTTTTAGTAACTATAGTTTTTATTTATTATTATTATATATTTCTTCAAGAAGTAGTTGATTTGTTGGCACCTATAGAAAAAATCACATGTCGTATTTCTGGTGCAAATTATCCAACATTCAGTGCTATTTATCCATATATAGAAATCCTTAAAAAAACATTTGCTCCACAGTTATATAAAGGAGAACCGAAGTAACAATATCTTGATTTAATATATGGTTGTGCTTCTGATGATAATAATGATAATAGTACAGATAATAGTTCAAGTTCTATTAGTGATGGTGATAATACACCAAGTTGTGAAACTCGTCAGCATTGGCAATATGCCCATAGACAGTTTTGTCAGCATACCTTGCTATAACGAATCCATATATAAATTTATAAAATATTCGGTTTACAAATAATATCTCTTGATATAACAAACATATATATTTATTTATAAAACATTCGGTTTATATAATGTGTTCCAATATAAGAATTTGATTAATAGAGTTACATAAAAGTTTCGTTATACTATAAAATATTTCGCTTTATCAAGATATTCGTTATATCAAGGTAATTTTATTATAAATGAAAAAATTTTTTCTTCATTATAAAGGTTTTATAATTAAAATTCGCTATATTGAGGTATTTTTGTAATAAAAAATTTTAGCTAAAAAAAATCTTCGCTATAATACCAAATTTGGTATATTGAGGTTCATTATATCGAGATTATACTGTAGTTTGCTACAAAGAGTCCGAGCTGCTATATTTTTATCTCTGGATGAGCTTTGGACTATACCTTCTGAAGTTGCTTTAATGGTATCTATTTTTGACTCACAATTTAAAGTTTTCCAATGGGCACTGAATCAATTAAAAAATGCTAAAAAATCACTTGAACAATTCTATAATAAGATAAAAGCAGCTTTGGAGTTACTAAATTTAAATAATTTTTCAAAAACAGCAGCAAGCAGCTTATCGATTCATGATAATAATGATGATGATGGATTTTTAATCAATTGAATACCACACCACATCAAGCATTAAAATTGACTGAAATAGATAAAGTAACTCATTATTTTACTTTAGGCAGTATTGGGCTTAACAATGATCCAATAGAATGGTGAAAATCATATAAAGCTGAATTACTATTTTGCACGATTAGCCAGAAAATATCTTTCAATTCTGGCAACTTTTGTTCTATTGAAAGATTATTTTCTGTGCCAACAACCACATTACATCCAAAAGAACAAGATTATCACCAGATCTAGTTAATAAATTCTTATTTTTAAAAAGAAACAGTAAATATATTAGAATATTTCATATGCAATAGCTTAGTAAGCATATCAAAATGCTTTCAATACAATAGTTTTAAATTCATTATATATACAAATGTCTTGCTTATTAAATAATATATTTTGACATATTAAAATTTCATGTATGCAAGAATACTTCGTTACATTATTCAATTTAATGAACTTGTTTTTGGGCAAATATTTTTATTTATTAAAGATTTTGACAATACCAATGCGCAACACAAATGAAAATACCCAGAATTCCAGGAATTTGTAATATCAATTAATGCAGCCTTTGATTGAGGGATCAATCTTGTTTTTACAATGTCAAAATTTTGATTTCGAATTGATACAAGTAGCAATAATATTCATGTAATTATACCTAACTATTAAATTTGATTATCAAATTTTATCGAACCAAATTTTATTCAAGAAACTAGTATAATCTAAAAAGTACTGTTTTCAGTTCGGTAAAACTAATTACCTCTTAAAACTATTAGTAAATCTACAAATTGTATTGGAAATTCATACATAATCTTACAATCTATAGGATTTCTTAAAGATTTTTAAGGTTCTAATAAATTAAAAAATTGCTTAGCATATATATACAAAGAAAAGTTTGAAAAAATAAATTCTTTTCATGAATTTTACTAGATTTAATAGAGTTTAAATCTTTATATAGGTAAATAAGACCTTGATGTGATTTCTGCAACTTCCTTAAACAACAGAAGAGGTGGAACTATTAAAGTTCTATTCAGATACCATGCCAAAAAAATAGTATTTTCCAATTCCATTTTTTGATTATTAAACTACTATGCAGAAGGTAGGTTAAATACTTTTCTTAATAAGTTATTAGTAAATTATTATTTAATTTTAAAGGTGAATTATTTCTAATAGAATATAAAAAAGTAAAATGCTTATAATAATTAAATAATTTACATGATGTTTAAGTTATCTCGAAAAAAATCTGAATGTTTACTATTAACATTATAAAAAAGACTTTTATCATAGTGCTATTGTACTTTCATGCATAAAAAAGATCCAATACACAACCCGGTTTAATTTTCAACCAGTTTAAGTCAAATAGTAACCAGTTCTATATTACTTATAATTCAGTTTAATTTCCAATTGATTAAAATCAATTAGCAACTGATTTATATTACATGTAAAATCAATTCGGTTTTTGAATTTACAACCAGTTCCAATCTCTATGTGGCAAAAATTTTTCCAAACTTTAAATGAAAATTTCTTGACAACTGTTTAATAGAATTTGATGAAACTTATTCAAATCAATTCTATGAATTAATAGAACTCATTTAAAAAATTTTTTTTGGATAGACATCAAGAAATTTTCATTCAAAGTTTATAAAAGTTTTTAACACCACCTAATAGCCATGGCAGAAATTTTTCTAAACTTTGAATGAAATGATCTCAATAACTACTTGAGAATTTGTTGCAAATTTTTTTAATAAATTCTACTAATCCGTAAAATTTATTTTAAAAAATTTTCATCAAATTCTAATGAACTATTGTTGAGAAATTTTCATTTAAAGTTTGGAAAAATTTCTGCCACGGCCATTTTCTTGAGGTATTGAAAATGATAAATTTTTTTTTAAATAAATTGCAGATTCTATTCAATAAAATTTTCATCGAATTTTATTGGAAAATTCTACTCGATAGTTTGATGTATATTATATATCACGTGATCGTCGGACGTCAAAATCATGTGACCTGTACGTGTCCGTAGAGCAAAAGTTACGTTTTTGGTAGATCTGCAGTTACTTTTTTGGTAGGTCTGATTTACCCCATAAATTGAGGTGATGTTCTTGATGCATCATATTTACATAAAATTTAATTTTTTCAAAGGTTTAAGCAAAGATATCTCGATGACCACCAATTAAATTTAATAATTTTTTTTTATTTTCATTCTTCAGCTATGTAGAAACGAAATAAAAAAAAATTTATCAAATTTAGTTGGGTGGTTGTTGAAATAGCTTTGCTCAAAGTTATAAAAAATTTTTTCACTACTGTTATTCTGATAGATGCTTTAATGTTTTCGAAAATTTGAGCGATGATATCTCAGCAACCACCTAGTCAAATTAGGTAGATTTTTTTTATTTTGATTCTATAAATATATGAAAACAAAATAAAAAAAGATTTATCAAATTTAGATAGGAGGTTGCCAAGATACCTTTACTCAAAGTTTTATAATGATTTTGCTACAGCTGTTATTTTGATCAATGTTTTTATATCTTCAAAACTTTGAGCAAAGATATATCAGTAACCATCTAGCAAAATTTGATGATCTTTTTTTTATTTGGATTCTACAGATCCGTATAAGTAAAATAAAAAAAATTCAATAAATTTGGATAGGTTGTTGCTGAGATATTTTCGCTCAAAGTTTTATAAAAATTTTGATAGATGTTTTTGTATTTTTAAAACTTTGAGCGAAGATATCTTAGCAAACCTAGCCAAATTCGATGAATTTTTTTTATTTTGATTCAACAGATCTGTAGAATGAAAATAAAAAAAAAATGAATGAATTTGAAGAGGTAGTTACCGAGATATCTTTACTTAAAGTTTTATAAAATTTTACCATACTGTTATTTATAATAGGTGTTTTTATATTTGCAAAATTTTGAGCGAAGATATCTCAGTAACTACCTAGCAAAGTTTGATGTATTTTTTTTTTATTCAATTCTACAAATATATGAAAACAAAATAAAAAAAGATCTATCAAATTTAGATAGGTGGTTGCCGAGATATCTTTGCTCAAAGTTTTATAAAAATTTTACTGCGGCTGTTATTTTGATAAATATTTTCAAACTTTGAGCGAAGATATTTTAGCAACCAATCAACTAAATTCAATGAAATTTTTTATTTCGATTCTACAAAAAACTAAAGAATCAAAATAAAAAAATTATTTGATTTTAATTAGATGGTCGTTGAGATATCTTAGCTTGAATTCTTGAAATTTTATAAAAATATGATATATCAAGAATGTCACTTTAATTTAGGGTAAATTAGACCTACCAAAAAAAGAGCATTGGGGACATTCGATTCTAATGATTTCCATGATCACTATTACACAAGTATTTATATGGAAAAGTACTGTAAAAATCTGAAACTTCGTATATAAGCAAACTAATAAAAATTAAGTATTGGTACAATACTTAACTAGATAGATAGCTTCATAATGAACGTCTCTACAAGAAAATCAAGTTGCATCATTTGCATCATGCCGTAAAGGGTGGGTTTATTATGAGCAACAAATATTATATACTCTGTTAAGTAGAAGTTTAGTGATATTCTAACTGTTTCTTTTTTTTCTAGATCCAAAAGTAATTTGAAAGCCTTTTTTTTTATTTCACTTTAAAGACATTTTACTCTAGATTCATTTTTGAAGATGTTTTTTTTTTTTCTGTTTGTTTGTTTTTTTTTGTTTTTTTTCAGTTCACTAACTACTTCTTCTTGCTTAATAACAGGAATTGTGGTAATCAATACGAATTTAAATCACTTCTTCGTGGAACCAAAAATAGATTTATCTCAGAAAACATACCTGTTGTTGTCATGAAAATTGAAAGTACTGATAAAATTCTTGGCAGTTATATTCCTAAGGTAAATCAGTTAGTTTGATATATGGAGTCTTTGTTTTAAAAATGACCTTATGGTATATGATACCGTAGAGTTATTTTCAAAGCAAAGACTCCATATTATAAATAGTTCTATACATTGAAAAATGATAATATTCAAAGTTTGTTTTGAAATCGTGTAATACAAAATAATTATAGATTGTATTTTTCAGTAAAAAAATTTTAAATATTGTAGAACTGCTTATAGAGTCTTGAATTAGGTATATCGAATTAGCTATATCGAATTAGCCATCTTGAATTAGGCGTCTCAAATTAACGTGTATTCTAGATATACAGCTGACACTCTATATATGTACTCTCTATAAATATACTTTATTATAGTTGCTACCCAAACCTAACTAGTTTGGAATTTTAGAGGCTTTCTAGAGTATGTAAAACTAATTAAAATTGCAGACTTGTTCCAAACTTATTATTGTATGAATTGGGATTTGGAACAAAATTTCAAATATAGCTAGTTTGGGCCAATAGTTATAACTATTTAGACAGCTTTATACACATTTCAAAGTGCATATAATTTAATTGGTCTAATATAATTTTTATTATTAGGGTGATTCAGAATTAAGAATCAGGTTTCTGATTTCGAATTAAATTAGTGATATATTTATTTCGAAATTAGCGGTTAATTAAATCTTATTCACTCTGATTTGTAAGCTTATTATTTAATAAATTTTAAGATTGTGAATTTTCTTTCGAAACTTGATATTTTTTTATATATATTTTAAAATGCCTTATATTTTTAATTAACAATTACATATTAATAACATAATTAGTATTTTAAAAGTATTAATAGAAGAATATAGCTAATATTAAAGAAAAAAAATTTTGATAAACTGTTGATACTTGCAAACAATTGAATTAGATCGATATCTTACTACTTGTTAAAAAACTATCAAGTTTAATTAAAAGTTTTTTTTTGAAAGCAAATTAATTATTATTAATAATTCGAAAATAAATATATAATATCGAAGTGAAAATAAGTGGGAGTTTGAAAAGTTCTATTTTTGAGTTGTCTGAAGATAAAATAAGCAAATTTTTTTTAATGATATATATTATATTTTATTATATAAATGGGCTT